TTGAACCGGGGATTGAACTCAGGTCCTTGTGCTTGTCAGGGAAGCACTTATTCTACTGAGCCATCTCCCCGGCCCCCTCTTTTTTCCTTTTTGAGACAGGTCTTGCTGTACAGTTCAGGCTGGCCATGAGCTCACTTTGTAGCCCAGGCAGGTCTCAGACTCAGCCTACCGAGTGCTGGGATTACGGGTGTGCACCATCACGCCAGTTTTATTTCTTTAATACCAAGTATAGGCAGTTTTGAATTTGATATAGTCAATGAAATTACAAAAGAATGATTGGGTTACACTGAGAAATTGGAGGGAGGGAGGTTGGGAATATGTTCAGGGTTAGCCTAGAGATGAGAAAGGCTGACAGTGCAAACACACTCATTTTAGAAGGGATAGTTCTTACTACTAAGAATCATGTGCTAACTTGTTTCTGTTGGGTGCAGTGACTCCCCTCCCCCCCCAGCGGAACTGGGGATTGAACTCAGGCCTTTGTGCTTGCCAGGGAAGCGCTTATTCTACTGAGCCATCTCCCCAGCTCAGTGACATTCTTTATTGAAGAAAGTGTAATTAATGCTCTTTGCTCAAATACTAGATTTTGGTGGATGTGTTACACATTCATTCTAAAAACACCTTAAGATCAGTTCACAGTTTGATTTTGTGAATGAACAAATAGTGCTTGAGAGCCTACCAGTTACCATCCTTGGTGTTAGGCCCTGGGGAGTATAGTGGGCTGTGAGATATCTTGTCTTTTGGGAACTTACAAGATAAGAGAATGCCCAAAAATAAGTAAATTAAGTGGAATGGAGGAATCAAGTAGGGTACTCTGGTAGACACTGAAAAGGAATGTACCTAAAGCTAATGTGAGGAGATTGAAGAACCAAGGAGAGCTCCCAAGTGAAGGAACCCAGTGCCCAAAATGGAAGATGGGAAGAATATAGTGTAGTTTTGAAACTGAATGACTGCCAAGTATGGGTGACATTTGTATGCATGAGGAGAATGCTCAAGGATGCCTTAGAGGTGGGTTAAGGAAGTGGTGGAGCTCCTTGATGGATGGGAGGAGGGGTTGCTGACTGGCTGATAGGTCTGTCTACAAATATAAATGCTTAACGATAAAGTTCAGTAATGCAAACAGATGGAGGGAGAAAAAAGGATTTGTCACTCAGGTTGGAGAGTGATTTATACTTAAGTAATGGAAAATTGTTTCTGAGGAGTGTTAAAAGAGGCTGTTTCACAGGTTCAGAATGATAGTTGCCTGACATTGAGTGATGGGAGTGGAGCTGTAGCTGTGAGAAACAGCAGAGGATTTGTAGATTAAATAACTTTAATGGTCTAGATCAGAATGATACTCAATCTGAGATTGGTGGACTCTATGGCATACATGAACTCTTTAAATTTTTGAGACAGGGAGGTGGATTTTCTCAAAAAGTCTTTGTTCCCATTATACTAATTTGAGTCTTAAAATTAAAATTACTGCCCTGGATCATGTAATGTGGGTTCATAACCCATAAATTAAAAAATTACCTGAGTGGTTTTGGTTTTTTTTTTT